CCTCCCTCCCTCCCACTGCAAGGCAGGGGGCGCAGCTAGCCTGGGGTGCGGGGAAACAGGGAGGAGGATGCTGGAGCCCGCCGCGGTGGGCTGGGCTCACTTACCCCTGGGTGAGGCGAGAGGCACCTGGGGATGCCGCACAGGATCCCCCCACCCGCAGCAGGCCTGCAGAGCCACCACCGCTGCCTCCAGCTGGGCTCTGCCTCTTCTGAGCGAGCCATAGGAAACAGGTGAGCAGTGTCACCCGGCACTTAATCCGGCGCTCCTCCATCCTTGACAGCACCACCGCCTCTCTCTCTCTGGCTGGAGCTTCCCGGGTGCGCATCACTGGCCACTGAGCTTCTGCCACTCCACTGAGGCCTGCTTGGGCCAGGCCAGCTTGCGCACTTGGAGCATTTGTCTCCCCAGACCAAGTAGGGTCACCTCCCACCCGCCACCTTGAGGAGACCCCGCCAGGGCCAGGCGTGGGGAAACCAGGCCACCGCCGCTCCCGCCATATTGTGACAAGCGTGAGGCCCTTCGGGAAGGGGAAGCAACTGTCTTTTGAGGGAATTTGTGGCCGGTGCCGCTTCTGTGAGCAGGATTCAGGCAATGCAGCCAGTGGATATGGAGACGTTCTGAGTGACACATCAGGGAGCCAGCTGATTTGGGAGCATGTGGAATGTTCTGGAGAGTACCACTCCAAAACACAATTATTAAATAGAGAGATACCTAGCGTATATTCCATTGGGTTTTATTCTGTTCTTAAAAAGCACTGTGGTTTGTTGGGCATGTGCAGTTTGGGCTGAATTCTGCCCTATTCATGTGTGAACTGAGGCTTGTGGGAGATTCACTATGGTAAGTGGAATCTGGAATAACTTGTTTCCTCTTTTCCAAACACTGAAAATATGCTTTGCATGTTGATATTTCAGTGCTGTTCGTGGTCAGATTTCCTTCTACTTTAAAAAGAATTTGACCTGCATGGTCTGGCTAGAACTGATGGTTATTTGTGACTGTGCATATGTATGCACCCTCTCATGGGTAAACTTCAATAATGACAGGCAGTTCCTTAAGTGGTTCTTGGGACTTAACCCAGAAAGAGGAGAATTTACTTGTGCTTTGTGCTGAGATTTAACTTTCTAGTAGACCAGCTCTGGGAGTTATTATTTGTCCATGTCTGAAGATGTTATCCCGTCACTGTAGCTGGTGCACACTGCACAGAAGTAACCATTCCTTTTCTGGCTCATTAGTTTTCTGTCCGGTCTCAACTAACCTCAGAGTACACAGACCTTCTGAAGCCTAATTATGAGGCAGATCAAGTATCTTACTCTTGTTAGAACTTCCAGCTCCTTCCCTCCTTTCTCCAAAGAAAGGATGTGGAGTTAGGCCAAGGCAGCTGGTTTGAAGGCAGATGAAACTGGTATAGCATGTCAACAATACAGGTCCTTGCACATAAATGTCAGCGATTCTAAGGTTGGAAGAGACCGTGATGGCTTACAGGCTGGAGTTGCCGCATTATACAAGGGGTTCCATTTCCAGCTACTTCTGAATGTTTGCTTAAAATAAGTGGATGGGTGCTAGGCAAGCTCCTCATTTTATCACTATGTCTTTTATATTTGATATGGCAAGAACTATTTATAATTCAGTTGTTAATATCATATTGTGAGAAAGATGGTGGCTAGAAGGATAGTAACTACATGTTACATCTGCCACGTGGCTGCCACAAGGGCTTGTAGCCAGACATGGCTGCAAGTTCCCCATGAGAACTCAAGTCAGAAGAGCCTACAGGGGTCTGATTCATTTTGGGATGATGGCACAGGGGGAGAAGATGATCCTGCTTCACACACCCCCACAGGCTATTTTCCTGACCCAAAAAGGCCCCAGGGGTGTTATTTGCCTCATTGGGGTGGTGCTGGTTTGCATATGCACTGAATGCTTGCACATGCAACCCCCCAATCATACAGACACACAGAGCTAATAATGTCTGCTGGGCTGTTTCTGTGTGGGAAAAGGGAGGGAGGGAAAACAGGACGAGAGGAAGACATAGGTTCAGGTTCCTACGCTTTCAGGGAGTTGAGCGGGTGACCATGAGCCAGTAACATGCTCTTAGCCTATACTACCTCAAAGGGTCATTCTGAGGATTAAGACAGGGAAGTGAACATATACATTACACTGAAATCTTTGGAGAAATGGAAGAGGGATTAAAAAAACCAAACTGCGACACATGCTTATGTGCTTATCTATAGAATATATACTAACAAAGAAACTTATCTACAAAAACCAGGCAAAACTTATCTTGTTAGTGTGAGGACAAACTGTAATACCTATTGGGATAAATAAACACTGAGCACCTTAGAAGATACAAATGTGCTAAGAATACCATTTTCCCATCGTTTGGAAGCACAAAGACCAAGATAAGAAAATAATCTTCACTCTTGCTGCAGCTAGACTGTTCTTGGGCAGACTCACACACTTGACAAGATGAAAATAATTGAGGAGCAAAATTACTAGGAAAAAAATACTGCAGTGATAAAACACAATAGAAAATACAAAAAGAAATGCATGCCTGAACTTGACACTCCTTGCCATCCCATTCATTCCTAAGGTCAGGTGGAGCAGGATGTGGGGCATGGTCCGGTCCTGCTTCTCCTGGGGAATGAATGTCACAGTGTGGGGTGGTACTGGTAGTGAGTGGCAACGAGAAAAGAGCTGGAACTGAGGAGGGGCCGTACTTCATTGACAGAGTGTCTGCTTGCCGTAGAGAAAGTCCCAGGTTCAGTTCCTGGCATCTCCAGTCAAAAGGGTCAGGTTGTCATGATGTGAAAGACCTGCATTAAACCCCTGCAGAGGTGTTGTCAGTCTGAGTAGACAATACTGACATTAATGGACCAGTAGTCTGACCAGGGGTCGTTTCGTAGAAAAAGAGCTAGGGGAACTCATTAGCATAACTCATTAGCATATGTCACACCCCCTGACATCACCGGAAGTGTGTCATAAGGCCAAACACCCCGCCCCCAATGGTCCAGACCGCCGCCGGCGGGACGTTCTGCCCCCCCCACAGACCCGCACACTGCCGGAAGCAGGGGGCGGGGCTTTGTCATGTGGCCCGCCCCCCATACCTCACCCGGGGGAACTGCGATCCCCCGCGATCCCCCCCGAAATGACCTCTGAGTCTGACTCAGTGTAAGGTACCTTCATGTGTTCAGCTGCCCATCTTTTCCCTCACCTGTCATCTCACCCATCAACTGGTCAAACGCTCAACAGGCCAATAACTGCTGTGTCACTGTGATGTCCCCATCCATTTCAAAGGGGCATGCCCAAGATAACTTCCCATAGATTCTGCACAGGCAGGGCTTTTTTGTGGTGGTACCCACCAGTACTGGCACCTTTTGCGGGGCGGGGGGGTGAGGTTTCCTGAGTCCTGAGGAGGAATTGATGGAAACCAGTGCAACCTTATATATGAGTACTGGCACCTTTTAAAATGAAAAAGCAAAGCACTGTGTACATGATAACAGAAGTACAGATCAAAATCAGTGTAAAATTACAGATTTATTTAATGCACTGTGAAAGCAGTTTTTGTTGTAAAACCAACGACCAAATGAAAAGCTGAAATATACAATCGGTTTCTTCCAACTATACTTAGCATTGCTATATCTCTTCCTTTCAACCAAGGCATTGAAAATTGCATTGGAATGCCTCACTCATTAAGTTATCACATGATTCCTACTGTAATCACAGGGTGCCTTCAGCAAATCTAACAGTACAACAAGAACACATTAGATTAGAAGAAGAAGAAGAGAAGAGGTTGGATTTATACCCCACTCTTCACTCAGAGTCTCAGAGCAGCTTACAAACTCCTTTCCCCTTTCCCTCCCCACAATAGACACCCTGTCAGGTAGGTGGGGCTGAGAGAGCTCTTTTAAGGACAGCTCTGACAGAACGATGGCTTGCCCAAGGTCATCCAGCAACCGCATGTGGAGGAGTGGGGAATCAAACCCAATTCTCCCAGATTAGAGTCCGCACACTTAATCACTACACCATACCGGCTCTCACACCAAACTGGCTTTGCTGGAAGATGCTGTCAACCAGGGATAAAGTGTAAGTAAAGAGAGCACAGCTGCGATTGAATATATTGAAGGAGCAGAGGTGAAAATAACAGATTTCTTGCTGGTACTCCCACTCTTGCGGGGGGCAGCTTGATGCAGAAGATGGGAGGTACCAGTTTGGCCATTTTTTTCACTAGTACTTAGTTACTTTCACCCCACAAAGGAGCTGATTTTGTAAATTAAATATTAATTTAAAACCCTCAAGTAAATAAGAATAAAATAAGCACTAAATGGCTCTTCCTTAATGGATGAATGGATTTCGCTGAAACTACATGAGTTCAGAAACTTTATTTCCAATCAACTGTTATCAAGAATTATGAGTAGCTGTTGATAGATGGACATCTGTTGCATCTGTTTAGCTAGTCCTGGCTTTAGGTCTTGATGTAGATATGGCTCTGCGTCTAGATGAGGGTTTGGGTTTTTTGTGTGGTCTAGGCTTTGGTTTTTGGTCCAACTTCTGGATGGCATTCTGTACCCACGGGAGATCATGTTGCACACAGATTCGAAATCCACGGTTGGTTATAAATCTACAAAAGGAGAAGAGGCAAGTCACTATATTTATCCTTTGAATAGATTAAAGAAGTTCTGCACAAAATAGGAAGCCATGCTGAACTGTTTTTAGAGTCTTGTAGGCATTTGACAGGTTGGTATCTATAATGGATAAGAAAGCGATTGGCCGAAATGATGTATGTCATTCACCATAACAGAACATCCTCTCCACCAGATGGGGGGGGCATTTGGGGGCAACGTCCCCCACAGTTGAGTGCTGCCCCCCAAGACAATAATTCAAAAAGATTAAAGAAAAAGATTAAAATAAAAACAATATTTAAGAATTATATGAGGTGTGTGGTGTTTCCGAAATGACCCTGATCACAGTCAGGAAAGCTTCAGTCTCATTTTCTTTTTTTCCCAGGCGAAAAAATAAATAGGTGTTTAAAAACACAAAAAAAAAAAAAATTGCAAAAAAAAAAAAAAAGAATTGCAAAATGTAAAAGAGAGAGGCTTACACAGAAAAGCAGCTCGGAACTGAGTCTCTCCAATCGAAAGGACTAGAGGAGGACTAGAGGTCGCAGCAGAGCAGGCCGGGGTGCCCCCCCAGATTTCCCCACACCCACCAACCAAAAATTTCTAGCTACACCCCTGCTCTCTACATGAACTGATGCATAGGATAGCACCAGTTTGTATTTACTGGAGCTAGATGTTCAGCAGAGGGGCCTCCGGCTTGATTTACAGCAGAGAACTAATACACAGGAAAGGGATACTTAACCCTTTCCCATTTTCCATTGCATACCATGTCTCCTAGCTGGAATTCCAGATAAATATTTGCAGCAAAAAAGGGAAAAAGTCATTGTGGAGAGGGGACTGCGGGGGGGGGGGATGGTGGCCAGTTAAGCATCCTCTTAGTGAATGCCTCTGCTGCATATTTTTATCTCAGCACATTGCAGTGATTCAGTAGTGACCCACATTTCCAGACCTGAGTCACCCACTGAACATCTAGTTCAGTCCAGAATTTTCAGAGCTGGAATTAAAATCTTCAGCAGAATTTCACTAAGGAACTAAAGATTGTGGCTCAGATAATTTGAAAAACCTCTATCTTGTATGTGAATGTGTCTTTGTTATTACGTCTCCAATATAATTATATCGGTCAGCTTAGTTGGTCAGCCAAATGAAGTGAAAAGAAAGGCCTCATACTGGGCAAGACAACACTTCTAGTGCTAACCCTGAACAAAACTTTGTTGGACTCAAAGGTTGTTCTAGTGCTAACTATGTTCTGTGTTTTCATTGTATGTCACTCTCAGTTCTGAGAGTCTTATATTGTGTCACTTGCACTCCAGATCTGGTCTCTGTTTCAAGGGGAGTTCATCACTTCAGGTTTGCAATTTCACATGCTAACTCACTTGCTCATATGTGGATGGGTTTTTAGGAAAACTAGGTTTTATTATCTATTTTAAAATATTCCATTGTTAGTTAATTCTAATGGCACCCCAATTAATGCTGCCTGCTTATGGGCAACCCACCCACCTCGTTCAAAGTTTAGTGCAATTAGTGCTGCCATGCCTCTTTTTTCACTGCCTGCACAACTCCCATGCCAGTAGTGCTGAGCCTCTCTCACTTCCCTTGAAGCTGAACTGCAGCTAGACTTCAGTTGATGCTGCCCAGCACCAAGGGAGCCCCGTCTTTAAACTGCTCTGGACATAGCCGTCAATAAGCAGCTGGCCTGGAGGAACTCCTTTTATCGTTAGATGCCTCGGGGTGCTTGTCAGACTTTCCTACCTATATTACAGTAACTTGCACTATCCCTGTCAACCTAGTTAGGGTCTCACCAGTCATACAATCAGACTAACAAAAACCCTTCCACAGGCTTGGCAGTATGGTGAAAAAGAAGTCCCAACAAAGCCTGTCAGATGGGACTCCTAAAATTACTGCTCACCCTCTGAGAGTGATCAGCTAATTCCATACTGGCCACACCCAGACGTGGGAGTGAGTGGGAATTCCAAGCCAAAGGCCGGTTGCCATAAGTAGAACCTGCTAAAATATGGCTCCAGTACCCCTCCCGACCAGCAGCATTGCCTTTCCTTAATGGATGAACAGCTAGATTATGTGCCTCGACCATCCTTCCTTTTAAGGAAGATGTGACCAAAACCATTTCTTGCTCCTATTCAGGGCAAAGAGTATCAATGCCAGATACAACCATCATAGATCTAGCTGATGTTCGCTGGATTTGTAAGCTAGTCCACAGTTTAAAGACTACAGTAGATACTTACATCACAGCTTTAAATGGTCTCTCGTGATTTTCATAGCTAGCGATTCTTTTGATGTCTATTTCTTCAGTGTACAAGTCTGTACACCGGTTTTCTGGCATCACCTGAGAACCAAAGCTTCCTAAAAAACAAGAATTATGCATTATAATCGAGTGATACGAAGTTTTAACAGTGGAAGGTTTTTACTGTTGTTAGAACATTTGCAGTTCTCACATCTCTACGAGCAGGGTTACCAACCTCCAGGTGGGTTCTGGAGCCCTCCCAGAATCACAACTGGTCTCCATACTTCAGACATCAGTTCCCCTGGAGGAAACGGCAGCTTCAGAGGAGGACAGACTCCATGGCAGACCCTAGATAGAATCTACGTCCTACAATGACATTGAATCCCCTCTGAGCTCCATTCCCTCCCCAGTCTCTAGTCAACACTTCCAAATCTCCAGGAATTTCCAAAGCCAGTGCTGACAGCCCTGTCTGTATTCCCCAAACACCTTGCCTGCTTTCGTATAGTGCAATAAATATAAAACAATAAATCACAGTTGTTATTCATTGATCACAGGGTTCTTCTCTGCAACGATCCTGTATTTTCCAGCATTCATAACTTCCTCAGTACAGATAAGAGAGGCTGATGCATAGAAATAGGATTTAGTACAACTATCGCTAATTGGATGAGGATCTACTTGCACATGTGGAAACAGGTTCCATATGATCAGTTGCTGCCCTTATCTAGTGACCTAGGCTAACCCAATTTCATCAGATCTCAGAAGTTACACAGGGTTGGCCCTGGTCAGTATTTGGATGGGAAACCACCACTAAAGTCTCAGGTTGCTACACAGAGGCAGGCAATGGTGGCAAACCACCTCTGTTCATCTCTTGCCAATCCTACATGGTTACCGGTGGCACTTTCTACCACCAGTGCTGTGCATGTGTACCTGTCTCAAAAAACTGGCCAAAACATTGATCCAGTGTTTGGGAGGGTTCCCTCTACCTTCCCTTTCTCTCTCCACCATGAGAATGCATCACTTTAAAAAGGTACCCACCCAGCAGGGAGCAACATCTAAAAAGCACCTCAGAGGTCTAGTGCACACACTGAAAAAAATCTCAGTAGGCCCTTCAATCAGTTACAAGTTCTGGGAAGCTGTCTCACCTTGTCATATATTGGTGCCAGCCATGAAGGCCAGTCATTCTTTAGAGATAATTCCTTGCCGCTGTTTTGTGTGGTTTCTAAATACAGAGTAGAGCAATTATTAGCTGTGTTTTCAGCAGCTAGGAACCCAAAGTGATGCAGGATCAATAAAACTCTTTGCAAATTTGGTATGCACACCTCCCTTACCCTAGATTATGTGGGTTAGATCCAGCCAACTTTTTCACTCAGTCTTGGTCAGTCCTCCTCACCTCCAGCTGTCCTTGGCTTTTGTCAATTCAAGTCTGTGATCCCCACCACAGCCTTTTTGCTGGTCAAAGGGGATTCATACCCCCCTTCACCTATGGAAAAGTTGGTTGGATACAACCCCATATCTCACTGATTGTTTTCAAGTGGAAAATAGTAGAACTATGCCCTACACCAAAACTCTTTCCATAATATTGTTTCTTATTCCTATTGTTATCACAGCTTTCCTTTAAAGAGCTTCCTTTATTTCATCCTCACAAAACCATGTGAGGGAGGTTAGGCTAAGTTATACTGACAGGCCCAAAGTCACACAGCACACTTCATGGCTGACTGGAGATTTGACCCAAGGTCTTTCCTTTCCAGTTTGGGCTTGGCCCACTATGTTGCCAGAAGGAAATTTAGACACCAGGAACCAAATGCAATTAAGAAAAATACCAACACGACTGCACACCTACAATTAAGAAAAGTTTTGTTTTATCCTTTGCCTTGCTTGGCTATGATTACTCACCCTGAATTTCCCAGTACAAAAGGGGAATCATAAGGACTTAAGTCATAGGAATGTGTACATAGGGTCAAACTGGTCATAATGGGTTTCACGCATCTCCTCCTTTAGTCTTTTAAAAGGAAATTATAGCTGTGTGGGGAATCAATTTAAGATTGGGAACACACAAGCAGGGGAGGTGGGAAGGAGGTTCCCTTCCATTCCTCCACAGCTTCACTTATCAAAATTCCCTTTCCTAGCACTGTAATTAGCTGTTTAAGTGAGGAAGATAGATCCCTGTTTCTTTAAAGGGCTATAACATCACAAGAAGCCCAGTTTTGAAAACCACGCAAAGGGAAGAGAGTGCCACCACCTCCTCATATATCTCCAAACTGAATTAGCACCCCACCCCCCACATACACCATGGTTGTAACTGCTCTTTAGAAGACCCTGGGAAGATCTAGTCACAAAACTCTCCCTGTTGCAAAAGCTTTGGCTTTCAGGAAGCTCTTCCATACATGCAACATCCTACAGGTTCCCAGTAGACATGGAAAGCAAGAAGACATCCATTGCGAACCTTTCTATGTGCAAAATCCACTTGGGATTCCTGCCAGCAGGATGTGAAGGAATGCCATGCAGATTGAAGGCATGTGTCCATCAGACATCATTGGCAGGTCCCATACTGGAAACTCTCTTCTCAAGTGTTTGGGATGGGGCATGAAGTGCAGGGAGAGGGGGCTTCTACTTCCCCCTCATTTTCCCAACTTAAAACAGACCCCGGGGGTGCTATTTGCCCTGTTGGCAGCCCAGTAGTATATATGCAGCTGCCATTTGAGCAAATAGTGTCCGGGGTCATTTCTGGTCAAGTAGTGTGGTGGGGAAGGCAGAAGTGTACTGTGGACCCAGCCTCAGTTGGGGCCTCACACTCTTGGGAAGTTCCCAGTGGAAAATTATTAGCTGACATCTGACTACCTGTGACACACACATGTAAAACATAACATGCGTGTTAGGCCCTGACGCAGCAGATCGGGCAAAAAATTAAAGTATGGGTTTAACCTCTGGCTACTTTGCTAAAGTTTGATGTCTCTGGCCCAAGGAGTTTTCCTCTGCCAGGAGGGTCTCTTGCATCTGAGGAAGGAACCAAATGTAGCTGGGTGGTGTAGAAAGATACAAGCTTCAGGTTTTCTTTGCATCAGAAAACAGCAAATTAGGTACTTTGTTTGAACTGAAAACATACCTCTGACAATGCCTTCATTGAAGATGTCAAGGAATGAGATGGCCAGAATGGCTGCCATATAGAGCTTCATTGCTGATCTATTCCCTTGATGTGATGGACGAATATAAGATCAGTTAAGGCCTCCTTCTCTGCTTATATATCTCAATGGACACTTCCTCCGCAAGAAGTGTAATGGTGAGGATGAGTGGGGGAAAATCTGAGAAGCTGTCAGACCATTCGTTTCAACTGAAAGGGGGGGAAATTTCCCCCTCTTCTCTGGTCGCCCCTCATCGTCTACTTTTTCCTGCCACAATGTGGTTACTTTTTAGCACTTTGCAGGTTGGTTTTATTTTAGGCTGCAAAAGAAAGTTCTTTCTGTGCAGTGGAAACCTGCAGTGGTTCTATGGTTTCATTGCTAAACTCTTATGTCTATGGAGTCAATAAGACATTGAATCATATAAGTCATAAAGGCTAGAGAGGACCGCAAGGATAATTCATTCTGACCCCTCTGCCCATACTACCGCGACATTTACTATTATTAGTTTTGACAACATCCAGCCAATTTTGCTATAGGAACTTCCAGTGAGGAGGACTACCTCGACAGATTGTGTGTTTTGTTCTAATATGTACTGGCTTCTTCTAAAAAAAAAATGCTGCTCTGATAATAGATTAATCATAGATAACATGCCTTTGACCCCTAATAGGCAGTTGCAATTTCTGCTAATTCACCCCCCCCCCCAATATTGATCCCCAGAAACAAAATTTCAGGGGAGAGTTCAGTGAGCTGCAGCAGAAGGTGGAATCAATGGAAATCACCACCCCCTTTTTTAAAAATAATTGTCTTCAGAACTACATCGCTGGATACAGGCTAGTATCACTCACAGCATAGATACCCACTATAGGCATGAACCATTGCAAGTTGCCAGGGAGAGAATGTTGGTCCTGGACTGAGAAGATGGGTTCAAACCCCTGCTTACCCAGTATGCTCAGCGGGTGATCTTGGGCCAGTCACTGACTTAACCTAACCTACCTCACAGAGTTGTGAAGATAAAATGGGTAGCTCCACGTGTTTATTTGATGGGGGGGCTACACTCATAGTCTAAAAGGTTCCAAAGGCAACTTCCAAAAGTAAGTTTTGAACCAGGAGAAAATGGTCATGAAAACAGCAAGAAACGATAAAACAGCTGTGAAGAAGGTTGATAATAATAGCAGCATCCTACAAATGCCACATATAAAAAGGATAAAACCTGTTGGAAGAGAATGACCTACAGTTCCTGACTCACCATACCAGTGAATCTAACAAAACCAAGACATGATGACACATAAAAAGACAGCCAATTGAGTCTGTTCAAGCATTTCAGCCATCAACTAAAGGCCTATCTGAGCCCTGAACTCCTTGGAGGAAACTTCATCTGCTCTCACCTCTGCATGGCAAGCCCTTCCTAGTGGTATTCCTTTGTCTGTACAGTTATTAAAAGTATAGAAGTTTCTTTGTCGCTAGCCAGCTTTCCGTCTGGAGCCTCCAGTAGTGTGAACTGAGACATCCATGACTTCCATGATACAGGATTATAGCTTTTTTTCAAAATGATTGTCTCATCATTTGCATTAGCTTCACTGGAACTGGTGAAGGAGTTATGGTGTTGCTTCATTGCAAACGGCTGGTCATGGTGGAAAGTGCTGTCAAGCTGCAGCTGACTTACAGCAACCCCCATAGGGTTTCATAGGCAGTAGATGGACAGAAGTGGTTTCCCATTGCCTGCCTTTGCATAGCAACCCTGGGCTTCCTTGGTGGTCTCCCATTCAAGTACAAACCAGGGCCAACCTTGCTTAGCTTCACAAGATCTGATGAGATCCGGCTAGCCTGGACCATCCAGGTCAGGGGCAGAATGCTACAACTATAAAAACAGCTTGAAGGAATATCCCGACCAATCCAGGTCTTGCTAAGCAGCTTCAGAAGTTCAGTGCCTATCTTGCTCCTTTATTCCTACCCCTTTCCATTACCATGTCAATATCATCGTTAACCACCAGTCCATTTCCATATTTTTTCTCCAAAATTTGTTTGGCAGTTTTGGAAGAGATCCACTAAAAATCATGAGCACTTGAGAAGAACCAGCACAAGCAGATATGAAATTAACTGAAACTCTGGCAACTCCAAACCATATCAAATACAACAAATGAGAAACTTCATTTGCTTACACTTAACCAATCGTCTTTCAAAATCATGTTATGCAAATTGTTTTATGGTGTTTATTTACTTCATTTCTACCCTGCCTTCCTCCCCAGCAGAGATCCAAAGCAGCTTCCTTCATTTTCCTCTCCTCCATTTTATCTTTTCACCAACCTTGCGAGATCGGTTAAGTGGAGAGTGTGTGACTGGCCCAGGATTATCCACTAAGCTTTGTGGCTGAGGAACATGCAGGGTTGCCAGCCTTCAGGCAGGGCCTGGAGATTTCCTGGAACTACAACTGATCTCCAGATGACAGGGATCACTTTCCCCACCAATATGGATTTAACAAGGGCCACTTTATTAATTATTTAATAACAACAAATACTAGCGAGGGGTTACCAGAGATGTACTGAGGAATATGACTGGTGTCAAACTCCTGACCACCTTCATTTCCTTCTGGTCGATGCACCTGCTCTGATCTCAAGCCACTGAAGGTAGCTTTCGACCAGCAACGTGGCATGTTCAAGAGAACCCCTGACCCACCACCCCAGAAGCCGCAAAGGCCTGCTCAGGTAGGCCGAGCCAGATTGTTCCAAGGAAGATCACCCCTTCTTAGCCTTGAGCCGCAAAGGCCCGAAAGTCGTTCCTGGAGGACCCTTTATTTCCTTTATAACAATGCCCCGGTGCTCACCAGTTCCATCCTGATCGCGCTACCCCGCCAAATACTAAAGGGACCATACTATTTAACAGCCCGGCCCCCGAAGCCAATAAACCAACACCACCATCATCAGTGCAAGGTAGGCCAAAACACCTTCATACACAGGCCAAACCGATGGAGGCGAAAAATTCCTACCTGGCTCCATAAAAAGGCAACCGGTCAGACCTGCACTAAAATAGGGTGGGAGGGTGGGCCGAGCTCTACCGACTGACTGTAAGGCAGGGGGCAGGAGCTAAGCCTAGACAGGCTGGCTCTGCCCCCTGTTGGTTCCTTACTCTTCATGCCTCTCACGGAGGCAAAGCAGCCCCCCCACCAGCGCAGGCTCGGCGGGGGTTGGGGCTCACACTCTCAGCACTACACCAGACTGGCTCTGTTTCATTAGCTACTGATCTTGTACTCTTGTTGAAGGAGCACAGAAAGACTAAAATATTTCCCTGAAGAAGCCTGTTGGTGAAACATGTAGGGTACTTTTAGCTCACTGATAAAATATATCTTTTCCTTTCCTTGCACCATTGGCCTTTGCCTTATTTTAATCTCTGAGTGGGGATCTCAATCCAGTTTTTTCAGATCTTAGTCTGACACTCACACTGGCTTTCTTTTATTGGCTACTTTTTCAGAATCGGGGGTTTACACAGGTGGCAAATGATATGGGTCCTTTCCGCATTTTCCTGCCACTCCAGATTTTCTGTGTTTGTGTCGAGTCAGTTTAAATTCACAGCAAAACAGCATCCAAATAACCCGGGGCAACAGCAGGCTGAAACCAGACTGACCAGTGAAGGGAGGTAATGTAATGCAGAATGGGGGGGGGAAACCAGAATAAAAAGAAGGTTGAACTTGGTTTTAGTGTAGAATGGGGGAAAAACTTGGATTAAAAAGAAGGTTGAATTCGATTTCAGTGCATAATTGCTTAGAGGACACCATGGTGAACATGGATTAAAAGGAGAGTGCAGAAAGAGCCACTGACATCCTTCTGATGCTGGTTACCATATAAAGCCAAACAGTTAATATATGAGATCAGAAGAAACAGTGGAAGAGAAGACTTTTCACCCATGAGATGAATTGATGCAATACCATACCTACAACTCTGGGAAATGGCAAAGCTAGAATTTCAAAGACTTTCTCCAGATTACTAGGTGAGAAGATAAAGTAGTGACTCTACACAGAATGAAGTTGGTAGTCTCAGGTTTACATCCAGTTTCTAGTGGAATTGTCATTAACTTTTTGAAGACATTGTGTTGTTCATCCTACAAGAGCGTGGCAGCTATTGTTGTTGTTCAGTCGCACAGTCGAGTCCGACTCTTCGCGACCCCATGGATCATCTCCCACCAGGCCCTCCTGTCTTCCGCCGTCCTCTGAAGTTGGCTCAATTTCATGTTTGTTGCATCGATGACACTGTCTAACCATCTCATCCTTTGCCGTCCCCGTCTTCTTTGACCTTCAATCTTTCCCAGCATCAGGGTCTTCTCCAGGGAGTGCTCCCTTCTCATTTGGTGGCCAAAGTATTTGAGCTTCAGTTTCATTATCTGGCCTTCCAGGGAACAGTCAGGGTTGATTTCTTTTAGGATTGACTGATTTGATCTTTTTGCAGTCCAAGGGACTCTCAAGAGTCTTCTCCAGCACCATAGTTCAAAAGAATCTATTCTTCGGCGTTCGGCCTTCCTTATAGTCCAACTCTCGCAGCCATACATGACTACTGGGAATACCATTGCTTTGACCATGCGGACTTTTGTTGGCAGGGTGATGTCTCTACTTTTTATCATGCTGTTTAGGTTCGCCATCGCTTTCCTCCCAAGGAGCAGGCGTCTTTTAATTTCATGGCTGCAGTCACAGTCTGCGGTGATCTGGGATCCCAGGAACGTGAAGTCTGTCACTACTTCCACGACTTCCCCTTCTATTTGCCAAGGAGTGATGGGGCCGGATGCCATGATCTTAGTTTTTTTGATGTTGAGCTTCAAGCCCACTTTTGCGCTCTCCTCTTTTACTCTGAGCAAGAGGCTCTTTAGGTCCTCTTCACTTTCTGCCATTAGAGTGGTATCGTCTGCATATCTGAGGTTGTTGATCTTTTCCCCAGCAATCTTAATTCCCGCTTGTGATTCATCCAGGCCAGCATTTCGCATGATGTACTCTGCATATATATTAAATAAGCAAGGTGACAGTATACATCCTTGTCGTACTCCTTTTCCTATGCTGAACCAATCAGTTGTTC